CGGCTGATTCATCATCTACGTCACCGTGATCATTTTGCACAATATCCCGGGCATCAGCATTATTATTGTTAGTGTTGCCATGTTTGCGATGATAATGGACTCGAAATGTACCCCACCTTTTAGTAGAAAAACCACAGCCATTGAAACAACATGCAACCAGGAAATTTGGATCATTCCTATGGTAACGAATGAAATGAGCCTTGAATTCGATCATAGAAGTGGATGTATATGTACACATGCAACAACAGAAATCAGACATCGTTAACAAAGACTGTGTTCACACATTCATATTTTAACATGATCTATGAGTATCATGTGTTAAACAATGTATGCAAAGTGTTCACAAATGAACACTATGAGTATGGCGATCAAAGTTCTTGAATTGAATCTAACACAAAAAGGACACAACTGAAACAGACTTAACTTTAAAACTGGTCCCAAAATAATAGAAGAGACATTATTTGAAAAATCAACACATTCCCGCGTTTACTGGAATAAATCAGATCAACTACGACTAACGAGTCCACGACACAGGCTTAACGGTTAGAACGTCTTGCCTTGATGCAAATTACAACTGCTAAATTCCAGATAATAGACAACAACAACAATAAAATACTTAGTCTACCTTGTTCCTGATTTCACTGATTTGATAATGAACTGCTTTTAATTAGAGGATGGCTTGACTTACAAACGATCAAAGTCGATTTTTTAAAAGAATCAATTCAGTAGCTCTCAAAGGAAAGATGTCGTCTGTTCAAATGATCACGTGATAGTGCGGCGCATGCCTATCGAGCACTCTCCCCAGAACGCATAGTGTTCATATTAGAACATATTATGTGTTCAGCTTAGCACACTTATTTCGCAGTCTTCTCTGTGGGTTTCTTCGTTTGCGACACTCTTCATATGTAAAGATGTGTCCGGTAATTTGTTTACAAACAAATTTGTAGCGGTTATTTGATCACGCAGTAGGCCTATCACGTGACTTAATGAAAAAATGTAAACCTTCCAGTTCCAACGAACTGTTTACACATTGAATTGTTTCATTTTTTTTTATCAATGTTTCAGCTGGTTTACAGTGTCGGACGTATACGTACGGTAATTTTAGCCTCCTATTACAATATACATGTTTTAGGGAGAACTATATTTTCATCAAGCTCTTTAGTGGATGTGACAGGGTTATTTGTACTCTGTTGCCTTGTGAGAGCATGTTTTGATCAAGGTTACATTATTTATTTCTTAGCATTGGTTAAAGAATATATAAAATACTTAACCAAAGTATTTCTGGTACAATTATTCGGGATTGTATATTATATTAAATGTTGTAATTAAGTTAGCTTCTTTATTTTAGTTTTTATGGAATGGGTTTACTAGTTTCATAGTTGTGATATTTAATTGGTAAACGTAAAAACTACTGATGTTTAGTTATTAGTTAATTTCCAGTTATTGGTTATAAGTTTAATTGGAAAGGGTTATGTGGTATTGTGAAACGAGGTTGTATATCACATGGTGTAATTATTTGTTCGGTGGTTGGTTTTTAATAAGTTATCAGGTAATCTCGTGCATTTAAAGCTTACATTGGCTACAGTGGCCCAGTACCCACATGTGAGATAGTCGGAGTGCGCTGTTAATTATTGTGGCCCTATTCCACAAACTGGTAACTATATTTTATTCTTTAGATTGTATGTTAATGTGACTTTTACTAATTGTCTTAGTCGAAGTGTGTGGTAATATTTGTCACTCATTCTAATATGTCTTGTATGTGATTTTATGTTAGTCGCGGGCCATGGATAATGTTATATGTATACATGACGCCAGAAGATAATGATAATGAAGTATTTGTTAAATAGAACCTATTGTCATTGCAGGGCTATTTATTGTTTTGGTTAGTGTTCTAGCCTTGTAGCACCAGTCTTTAGATTATAACCTCTTTGCTACTGGTATAATGGAGTGAATCTAATTGATAATGGCGGAACGCATTGGAAGCCTCCGTATTGGTATATAAAGCACTTTTCGCGACTATCTAAATTTCATGTGGTGTACTGATGTTATGTTATATTGTGATGTAATAAATGTATAAAACTTATCTGTAATTCCATCCTTCGACCCAAATACATAGCGAGTCCCAGATCCATCTTGCATAGGGGCGTGTAGTAGCTGAGACTTGGACTCCATACATTGACCCAAAGCTTGTTAGTGGATGAACTCGGGATATTCAATTCTGAACATCCAGCAGAACGCTATAAATATATTAGGAGTCTTGATGAACACCATGGTGTTTCATGTGTTCCATTCAACATGTGCTTGAGAGGTAACATTTAAAAATGTACACACAGTGTTCAGAAAGGAATGGTAAATTAACACATAGTGTTCACATTGGACGTTAATATGGTAAATATAATGGTAGAATGTTCAAATGTTAATGTCAAGAGTTCAAATTAGAACACATATGGACGCGTCAGGCGTCCGTTAGGTTTACAGTGTATTAGCAAGCATTTTCATTTTATAAATGAAATTAAGAGAACCCTTCTTTAATAATCAGCACCTGTAATGAATTTATAACATTTCTTCACCTTTTGAATATGTATGTAAGTCTAGGATAAAGTTAAAACATGGATAAGAAATTCTGACTCTATGTCTTTGAGAAACACAAACATTAATAGCCTAATTGTTAAATAATGTATTTATTTAGATCTAGATCTAAATCTATTTTTTATATTTTCGTATCCATCAATCCGTAATGTAAATAATTTCTAAATCACGTTATTTTTCATGAGATTCTATGCAGCGATTGCTGCCACAAGCCGCCACAGGTCTGCTTTTTAAGCCAGCCAGCCGCCGCCGTGTTACTTCCGCTGGCCGCTACAATATCTACAGAACGAGTAGCATTGCATTGCTCTATG